CATACAAGATGATTCGTGCATGATTCCAAGGTTAGCTGAACCTCGGATGCATAGCTGCGCTGATTTGCGTAACAACGAAATGACAGCATGTGCCAGGACTCATGTCGCAACTACCACCCTTCCAGGTAGGACCGAACCTTCCTCCAGTTTGCACTACGCTACACTCGACTTCAGTCCATCTACTCCGGATCGGGCTCACTCTTCTGTGGACCTGCGGGGAACAGAACCTATTGTTTGTACCCAGTGTAGTAACGAGTATTGTGTCCATGAATCTGGTAATCCCTCGGAAGGCCGAAGTACTGTTTGTCCCATGAGGGTTTACGGTACCTTCGTCCACGGTCCGGCGGTAAACCCAAATAACTCCGGCCAACGTGCCAGATCTTTAAGTAGCTCTGGTGCACCACCCACCGTTTGTCCATCTAGTATGGGCACAACGGACAGTGAACTGCCCGTGAACTATGTTGCCATCTGTCAACTGCAAACGTTGGCCATGCGTGCTGTTTTAAATGCGACTACTTAACAGTTCATCTTATACTCTTCCTCTCTTTTATCCTTTGTGTTCCGTGCTAGACCCTTGAAGCACATACAGGTTGGTCAAGGGCTACACATTGTATCTTTCATCAAATCACATTTGAATGTGCTCCTCTTTTTATGCACCATAGCGCCAGTTACTAACTAGGGTCACGTATCATCGATCGTGCTGTGCTTTCAATTTTATCCTCACTTATGTTTCGTAGGATCCTCATTTAGTTTTCCACTGTTGTCCCATTAATGATCTCGGTCTTCATTCGCGTTCGTGTCCGCTACCTCTTGTGTTTCGTCCGCAACTTCTCTTCGTTCCTTTTTTGCTTATTCCTCGTTTATTTGAATTTTGGCACTGTCTCTCTCTCTTTCTGCATGGGATCTCTTTTTTCTGACCCCAATTCTTGAGCAATGAACAATACTACTCACTGGCAATGTTCTTATCGTCCTTCGATGAAACTGTTGCTTTTCTTTTTGTGTTATTGACTTCTCACGTTTTTCTGACCTATTTGCATTTCGTAATCGCCAGTCACTTGATTGTCGGTATATGTTCTGTTTCGTCAAGAGAACCTCATTGCCTTAATACACCCTCCGTTCGAATATAGGCGTCGATTTTCTGTCAGTTTCTGTGCTTCTCTATGTTTGTGTTACTCGACCGACTACCCCATATGCGTCATGCCCTCCCCCCTGTTCTCATGCCTGCATAGGCCTTTATAGTCTTTCGTTCAACCGTTGCTTGCCGCTTTGCTGGTAAGAACTTACCTAGTGGCACGCAGAGCGGTGCATAATTTTATGTGCATTTAAAGTCGATGAATTCTTGACTATTATACGAGGAATCTCCTGTCTCGGGCAGTTACTCTTGCTCCAAGTACGATTAGTTGACGCGTATTTACAACCATGTAAACGATGGTTAATTTTCTAGCTGGAATCACCCAAGTTATCCGTTCATCCCTGCGTGGATACCGCGTGAAGCATTTTCTCGTCCAACCGCAATTCTTTTAATGTGGTTTTCGGATTCCTTATCACTTCAGTACAACGTAATTCTGCGATTTGTTCTCATGGAATATTTAAATCAATTGTCATCTTCGAATCCGTTTGAACCAGGATAAATAAAAAGTGTTCCTTATTCTAATTCTTTTTCTTTTCTGGACAAGAATTAGTCATGTGTAAATAGAGCCATGAACCACAAGCTAAAGCCCATAAAAATTTCTCTAGTATTGGAGAATTTTAGCGGAAACTTGCTGTTTGTGTTACGTCTCAGTTTTATTCAGAGGTTTGTTCTTATATGGCGGATGACAGTTTTTTTGAACAGTTGCTGTGCTTCCAGTGAAATCTCACCCATTTTCTTTACTTGGATTGATGCATAGCATACTTCATCGTACAGCGGGGTACAGTGAAGCGAAATTCACTGATCGCTGCCAAGCCCACTATGTACACAAATTAAGTGATAAAGTACAAGATAGAGAGGGATTGGACCTAACTGGAGGGAGGAAAAGAAAGTGAACCTCTATGGTGAACACAGAGTACACAATCTGAATATGCATACATACCTTTTCAAGCATTCTGACTTGATAAGAAATGGTAACAAGAACGCTACTGCTGTCGGTTAGTTGTCATGTTCTTCAGTGTCTCCAACCAACTATTTGCCGAGTATTTTGGACCCCAGCCTGGAAGACGACAGAGACATCTATTCTACCTAATCGGTGCTCGGTGCATTTTTTCATGCCTCGTTTCCACGTCATCTCTTGATCTCTACGTGGTTTCTTCCAACCTGGAGTCGCAACTGCGAATAAGGCGCGGTGCAGTAGAAGATGGCAGAGCATGCGCAGTACGTGTGCTAACCAGCGAAGCCGACTAACCTGAATGGGATGAGACAACGAAATTTCCATCGAATAATTACCAAATACCTGACGGCTTATATCAGAGTTGCTTACACGCTCGCTCCATCCAACCCGTGTCAAACTACGTAAACATCGACCCTCGAGGTTTCCTATTCGACGAATGTCTTCTACACGCAAGTGTAGGGTCTCGCAACCATGAAACAAAACTGACCGCACACTGGCGCAGTGTACACAACCTTTCAGTTTCAACAAAACGTCGCGTCTGCACCAAAGGTGTTTCAGTCCAGCGTAAGCTGCTCGTGCCTTGGAAATGCGGGTGGTTACTTCATTGACTATGCTAACGTCGTTTGCCACGCAGCTACTGAGTAGGATAAACATTCCACTATAGCTAATTCTTGGCCATTAAGTATCAGTGCCGGGGTTAACGATACCCAATATTATAGCATCACTTTGCACTTTGAAGGTGAAAAGCGCATACCGAATGAAGTTACAGAACTTGAAAGTCTGACAAGAGCGCGTTGTACATCCTCCATACATTCTAACCGGCAAACGATGTCAACCTACTCAAGATCGCACAGTTTTCCCCCAGCTGCCCATTCAATACCTCAGTTTCAGTTTGAATAATCATTAACCACACATATTCGTACGCCGGTTTTGGTTGATGTCTTTTGGCTGCCCATTTGGATGAAGAATAGGAGAAGAAAGGAAAGTTGAAAGTGGAGTTGATTAGAAAATGGAAAAGTTCAGTGGTCTAAGGTTGCAAAGAAATTGAGGAGTTGCACAAACGCCACTGGTTGCGACACCCAGCCATATCAGGACTGGTTGACACACTCATCTGTTACTTCTCCTTTGGGGCGCGAAGCCCAACATT